CACTACCAGATAGAAGCTCCAATGCATACTTTCGTTGATTAACCACCCTTTATTGGAATGGGAAATCTCAAGCCCGAGAAAAAATCATAAGGCACTTAGGGAGAGTTTGGTACAGAAGAAGAAAAAATTTACAAGAGAAAAAATATTACAAAAAAATTGGTAGGAACTAATTTTTTTTAGGTAAGTTACAAAAAAATGTTTGGTTGACCAATTTTTTTTCAAAATAAGTTGATTAAGTTTTATGAGTTGTTGTTTGATTGATTGTAAAAAAGTAATAAGAAAGTGGGGTTATTTTATAAGAATACCTCCACATTTACTTTTTCATTCATACATAGTACAATGACATAAGGTTATTTTAGTCTATATTTTTGCTATTCTTTTTCATATCCCGGGCTACACACTATTCCATATATTGAATGAACTTCCATTTGCTCTTCCCTCAAGTAGATTTACAAGCAAAAGCAAAAACCAGGTAATATTTTTACCCAAAAAACTCTCCCTTAATTTGGTACCAAAATACTGTAAACAACTATTCCCAAATTAACTTTCCTGAATTACAAAATATAATCCGCATAACAAACGCCCTTAAGGGGGCGTTTGGTAGAGGAGAAATTTTTTTTTGTCCGAAAATCTCGATTTTCAAAAATATGATTTTTATATCCTGTTTATGATAATATCCGAAAATTTAATTTTTACATCCCGTTTATGATAATATCCGAAAATTTAAAATTTAAAAAAATTCAGTTTCCTAAAAATCTTAAAAAATACATCGTACTAAATTGCCCCTTAAGTCATTTATATGAAACATGTGGTCAAGGAATTGTTTACCACGTTGAATTTCCTTCATGTCATTTATTGTTAATACAACATCATCGACGTACACTAAAAGGGCAGTGAATTGGGCATCATTTTTCAAAATAAAAAGGGAGTTATCAGCCGATGATTGGACGACATAGCCCAAAGAAGTCAGAGCTCAAGTAAACTTATAAGCATTTTTTGGACCGTTCGATAGAGAGCTGAAAGGGAAAGGCAGCAATGATCCGAGCCTTGGAATTAGACTTTTTAGTTTTTAGCTTTAACCAATTTTATGAGTTTTTCAGTTTAGTTTTCTACGTTATTTTGTAAGCAACACGTGAGGAGGAGACTTCTTGGAGGAGTTCAAGAATCTTCAAAGTTTCAAATTCTAATCTATATTTCTTTTAAACTTTTACAATTATGAACATTTGTATTCAAGTTCCTTATATGTTCTCAACCTTTTCAGACTTGAATTTAGTTTGATGCAATGTTAATGCAATTTCTATGTTTTTCTTTAGTGTTTATTGTTAAAATGAATTTATGATTCTCTTTATTGGAATTCTAAATTAAGTGAAGAGTACCCATTATATTAAAACACATGTTGAGCATGATTCTTGCATTTCGTTTATCAAAATTCTTAGTTTCAAGAAGCCATTAGAATGGATCTTGAACCATCTTTTTCATGATTCTTTAATTGGAAAATTAAAGGGTTGTGATATTTTGCTAATTGAAAGCTTCAAAGGTTAGGGATAATCTGAAGTGGAAATTAATAATTTGTCAAAATCTAAGATGGTATTAACACCTAAATTTGGTTACTTAAGGTTTGGACGTCTAAATTTAATTTTAAGGTTTGGACACATGAATTTGGAAAAATTCATATTGGTGCTTGAGACGTTGATTTTCTGCAAGAAAGGTGCTATAACACATGTAAATACAGGGATGCAAATTAAAGAGGGGAAATTCATGATTTTAGGATTGCAAGATGTTGTCACCTTTGTTATTCATTAAATTCACATTATAGTTGTTTAGATAAACCTTATTGCAACTCTAGTTTATTGAATTTCCATTTTAAAAGTTGATTCCTTGTAATTCAAGAAAATTAGGATACAATAATAGAGAAGAAATTGAACCACTGAGGAATGATTATAATCAATTTTTTATTCCTATACTACTAAGGTGTTTTTTCGCATTAGACTTGCATAACTTTAATTTCTCTGTATATACAATAATTTATATCCTAATACAAATATACGAGAATTAACGGTTAAGATATATGTATATATATATATAGAGGAATTTTATTTTATATTTGATGTATTTTAAAAATAAAACAAAGAAATGAGATTAGAAAGGAATATATTTCCTATTCAATAAAAAAAATAAAACTAATGATAAACACAATAATTTGAGTACTCTTCCTTGTATGGATAAAAGAGCTATTTGTTTTCACAATTAAGGCAAAAACTAATATTATATTTATTTAAATTTAGCTAACTATATATTATTAGGGATAAGATATTTTACCTACATTTTTTTTGCCTACTTTACCTATTCATCTTCAATATTATTATATCAGAATCTCATTCTTTCTCTCTTTTGTTAGATTCAGATCCAATGGTATTGAAAATGAATATGTAGACTGGGCAAGAAAAAAGTAGATAGAATAACTTATCACATACTATTATTAGGTTTTAAACTTTATGCAATACTATTTATTAATCATTAAAAATTAAATTCTTAAATATCTATTATTATAAAAAAAAATGTGTTAATATGCACATAGATGCCACTAATTAAAATAAATTTTAGAGTAAACTTACGATAGTCTCTCAAAAACATTTTAAGAAAAAATTATATATAAATTTAATTAAATTCCATATGGCAAAATATTTTAATTCGAGGTAAGCACAAATATGCTTTTGGCGTCATCCATGAATTTTCCCATATTCATCACTTGACTAGCTAGCAGCAATTAACATGATTAACACAAGTCCCACGATGGCTCCATAAATTGATGGATGTAGCACCTCCTCATTACATCTAGTCATCTATCCTACTAATTAGATATTATATTTTTAATGAATGGTTGATATTTATCATCTACAAAACACCTGGCTATTTATTAAGATTTTAATATTACAAAATTCTCTGTAAAAAAGAGATTTTTTTTGTATCAAATTTTCTTAAAATAAAAAAAAGTTACAATTGCTACATTCGTTGCCTAATTTGTATTAGAAATTTTCGGCTATATGGATTGATTTCAGACTCCAAAATGGGAACTGGGTCCCGATCCTCACTCACCTTCCTATTCTTCTTTCCCTTGATCTGATTTTGGGTTCCTAGCTAGAATGATTGCAATACTTCGTGTCAGTTTTCATCTTATTCTTTCTGTCTGATTAATGCGCTTTTATGATTTCATCTTAAATGTGATTTCGTGATGGATTCATTTAATATGCATGAATCATGCCGGTGATTTTGAGTGGAAGAGTATAATAGGTTCATGATTTGAGTGGAAGATGGCGCCAAAAGTCCTTTACAAATTCCAAGAGCTGTTGTTATTTATTTATTTATTTATTTTTAAATCTCTGAGTACAAGTATACTGCTTTTAATTTAGTATCTCCAACTTCCCAAAAATAAAATTAATCTTCTGCCGTCGGATATTTTGAGGAAACACAAAAGAAATAAAAATAAAAAATAAAAATAGCATTTTCATTGGATTATTTTTTTTTTTTGTAAAGCGTTGGGCTTCTCGAGACCTAATCCTAAGGTTTCGAAATAAGAAAAATCTTTTGTCATATTAATGATATAATTTTATATAATTTTAAGTAAAATGACCAACGCAACTCTTATATTTTTTCTCACCCACAAAATTAAAAAGAGGGAAATGTAACAAAATTAACAAATATGCATCAAAATACAGTCATTTTACTTAGAATGATACAAGATCATGTCCTTAAAAAATAATAAGCATTTTTTCCTTAAAAATATTAAGACGTTTGGCAATATTATATTTTCTTTGAAAAAAGTGAAAAGGATGAGCAATAAAAGACCAAAGTTCTTCGCATATGAAATTCCCTTCCACCCCTTCTATTTTAGCAGAGGGATTCTGAGCAGCTCTCAAGCAATGGAGTTTCATGTAAATTAATTAGCAAAATTTAATTTATCTGGATGCTTATAACTTATAAGCTTGAACAGCTTTGGGGTTTTTATGTAAAACTTTCCATATATCTTGGTAACGCTAATTCTCTGCATCACTCATGACTAAAATTAAAAAAAAAAAAAAAAAAAAAACTTACATTAAGTGTATTTATTCCTTACACTTAATCCTACCCGCATATAGTAAATTTCAGAGTTATAGGGGCCCTACCATTTTAGAAGCCAAATCCGTAAACTGTTTTTTCATTAGGGTTCTAAACGATCCAAGAAGTTTAGAGAATCTTCAGTATATATTATCTCTGTCATGGTCAGCAGGTGCAACTATTTTATACAAAAAAAGTTTGTTTTACATTACATTTTAAAATCCACAAATACTAAGATGTAAAGGGATGTTTGGTAGAGAGTTTTTGTTTCAAGAAACTGAAGGTGATAATTTTATTTCTTCAGGTTAATTTTATTTATTCACGTTTGATATAAACGATTGCAAGAAATTTCTTGAAAAAATTGAATTAGGGGAATTCAATTTTATGAAAAAAAATTCCAACTTAAAATATAATAAAAAAGGTGGTATTTTGTTATCTTATACCATGAGAATATCTTGTAATTTTTTATGTACAAAATTAACCTCCATCTTCTTGATTCTAGTTCTTCGTTCTTCGTCTTCATCATTTAGGCAATTTTTTCCTCTAACAAACATTGCCTAAATGACAAAAAATTAATGTGGATATTTTCTATACCAAGTTAGTCATTTTCAGTAGTCCACATCACTTTTTAAAAGGTCCACCTTAAAATTCACGCCCGTTGACTTTTCGTCTATATCATGTCACTCATTTTATGTGGTCCACACTTCTTGGAAACAAATCAACACGAATGCATCAACATCATCTCATTTTAAATCATTACGGGTTTTCTCAAAATCACATGAAATTTAATATTTTCTTCTTATAAATATGCAACTGAAAATAATCTTATGCAATCCAAACCTCCGTAAGTCCATATCGTTACGGTTTTTGACAAAAAGGTCCATATTTACACTTAAACAGCAACAATGCCGTTGAACATAACTTCCATTAAGACATCATCGAATGGTGCTTGGGAAGGAGACAATCCATTGGAATATGCCTTTCCATTGTTAATAGTTCAAATCACCTTGATCCTCATCGTGACTCGCTTACTCGCTTTCCTCTTCAAACCTTTGCGACAACCTAAAGTCATAGCTGAGATTATCGTAAGTTTCTTTATCTATGCTAATCACAGTGCACATACACACACTTAAATTTCGTTGTATAAGATTTCTAGCTCCACTTATGAATATAAGGGTCAGAGTCAAGTATACACAACCTTATTTTTGTAAGCTTTCGATCATAAGGGATGTCCCGTTATTGTTCCTATAAGGCTTGCCCACATACACACTATAAAAAATAAATTTTAATATACAATACTCTCTGACTTGCAAAAATAAAGATAAGAGTAAAGTATACATAATCTTGCCCTTGTAATCTTCCGATCACAATAGCCAACCTAACTATTGCTGTATAAGGCAAGTCAATAGAATTATAATTGGCCTAGTAGTGAAATGTTTGAATAATTTACATAATGTTATAGATTCAAACCCATGTGTCATCATTATATATATATATATATATATATATATATATATATATATATATATATATATATATGAGGCAATATCCTTTGACATCAGTGTCAAATTTGAAGTTTGACACCTCATTTGAGAGCCGTTGGATCAAAAAAGATCAATGACTCTGATTTGTAAGCATGTGACACGATTGATCTTTTTTGATCTGACTACTCTCAGATGAAGTGTCAACCTTCAAATTTGATACCGGTGTCAAAAGATCCTGTCTATATATATATATATATATATATAACTATTGTTATAAGACCCGACTTTCGCACACTATATTTAAAGAACTAAAATATTGAATTTTAAAAATTTAATTCGTTGCAATTGCTTATGCTTTGTGATTTTTTTCTACGTGCAGGGTGGAGTTCTGTTAGGTCCTTCAGCTTTAGGAAGGAACGAAACCTACATGCACCATATATTCCCATCATGGAGCATGCCAATACTCGAAACCGTGGCAAGCATAGGCCTTCTTTACTTCTTGTTCCTCGTGGGTCTTGAACTCGATTTGAACTCTATTCGCCAGAGTGGCAAAAGAGCCTTAACCATAGCATTCGCCGGAATTTCCCTTCCCTTCGCCTTCGGCATCGGCGTCGCCGTCGTCCTCCGCAAAACCGTCCACGGCGCCAACGAGGTCGGTTTTGCGCAGTTCCTCATCTTCATGGGCGTTGCGCTTTCCATAACAGCGTTTGCTGTGCTCGCCCGCATCCTATCCGAGCTCGATCTCCTCAACACTGAAGTCGGGGGAACCGCCGTGGCCGCCGCCGCGTTCAACGACGTCGCCGCGTGGATCCTTCTAGCCCTAGCGATCGCACTCGCCGGCAACGGGAACCGCCACAAGAGCCCCCTGGTGTCCGTCTGGGTTATGCTCTCCGGCGTCGCGTTTGTGATCTTCATGGCTGTTGTGATCAGACCGGCGATGAAATTCGTCGGAAAAAAATGCTCGCCGGATAACGGCGCCGCCGATGAAGGTTATATCTGTTTAACCATAGCCGGTGTGATGGTGTTCGGGTTCGTGACGGATCTGATCGGGATCCATTCGGTATTCGGGGCGTTTGCGTTCGGGTTAACGATTCCGAAGGGTCCTTTCGCGGATTTGTTGATAGAGAGAATCGAGAGCTTTGTGTTGGGTTTGTTGCTACCACTTTACTTCGCTTCTAGTGGGTTGAAAACGAACGTGGCTAAGATCAGTGGCGCGAAGGGGTGGGGGCTTCTGGTTTTGGTGATATCAACCGCGTGCGGAGGGAAGATTCTTGGAACCTTTGTTGTGGCGTTGATGTGCATGATTCCGGTGAGGGAATCGTTGACGGTCGCCGTGCTGATGAACACTAAGGGACTTGTGGAACTCATCGTGCTTAACATTGGCAAAGAGAAAAAGGTTAGAGCACATTTTCAACACTTTCTCATTCTCAATACAGGGAAAATATATATGCAGTTAGGAAAAATATAAAATAATATTGTTTTGAGATTGAAAAATTAAAAAATTAAAATTATAAATATTATAATAGTTCTGAAATAAATTAAAATTATAAAAATATAATAATTTCTGTATAAAACGAGGTTGTATTAAGCTTATTGCAAAAAAAATAAATCCTTCTCAACAACGTGCTTAATTGATTATTTAATTAACAGATAATATAAATAAAAAATCATAATTTTTTAAAGAAAAAATATTTATCTATTTAAATAACAGTTATTTCAGTTAAAATTATTATTATTTATTTATTATTTAAATTGATAAAAACCTCTCACTTTTTTCTACTATTATTTATGTTTCTCTCACTGTGAAACAATGTAGTTATGCTTAAAATGATATAATTCTGCATCTTTAAAAAGAACAAATACACCTAAGTTTTGTGGCTCAGTTGGTAGCATGGGGACTGAGTGGTGGGAGATGATCAGAGGACCTCGGTTCGAATCCTGCCAACATCATCATATGGGGAGGGGCATAAATACCGTGATCCTTGGGCTCGCACCCAAACTCTGAATTAGTCTCATAGGCGGCTCAAAGAGTCGAACCCGTGGGGATACCGGGAGTTCTAATTCACCTCAAAGAGGTAATTAGGATTAGTTTCAAAAAAAAAAATAACAAATACTAAACTTTTTTTCAAATAGCTTTTTATTTATTATTATATTTTTTTTTTTGAAAATATTTCATCGGTTCATCACTTCGCGACTAGTCCGATTCGGAGCGGGTCCAGCTCTCATGCGCCAACTGAGCTACCACCATTTGATTTATTATTATATGGTTTATAAATAATAATATGTTAGTGAAACATGGTTTATGTTAGTCTGCTGGTCAAAGAACATGTATTAGCTGATTAATGGAGAGGAATATTTACTAGGACACTTATTCGCGGTGAATAATAAAGTAATAGTTTTCAACTTTCTTATTTTATGAACTTTGTAATTAGATGGCTGAGATTTTCACATTAACATGTTATGTGAAACAAAATATGATAATTTTCACTTGGCCATCTTATATTAAATTAGCTATAGCTATCTTTTGAATGCAAACTAATATCACCTCCATTTACTAGCAACTTATTTGAAGTATAACTTTATTTATTTTTAATTATGTCTATGTACGTATTTTGTGAATTATTATAATTGACTTATTATTTATCCTTTTTATTATTTTTTTTAAAAAAATTAGGACGTATATAATATTGCCTAATTTATTAATATATTATATAGTATTATAAATATATTTATTTTATAATCAGTTTAATTAGTATGGTTCAACCACAATTGGACCATTGAACCATAAAGAAGCACATTCGCCGGATTAATGACTAATTTTGTTTTAAAAGAAAAATTATTAGATGTGCGTTTTTCTTATTTTCTTATTTTAAAAAATGAAAGGAATGTGTGTAAATAACTAAATATCACAATTGTACTGTTGAAAAGGACCCCTTTTACTTTGCTAAAGTAGTATCAAAACTTCAAACGTATAAAATACGATCCATAGATTGTTTGGCATTTGGCAACACATCTTTCATTATCTTCGAGCAAAGATTTATTCTCAGGAGAATAAGCACTAAGGGCATTGACAAATTACTAATATAGGATAGAAACATAAAGTGATTTGCATTTAAAGTTACATATATGTAAACTTGTTTCTCCAATTAAGTTAAAAATGAAACAATATAACTATCGTGTCCATTGTCCAATTAATCCTATTGATGTTCTAACACCTTTGACAAAGAATTACGATTATTAATGAACACGGTTTGGTTTTCTTCTATTTCAGTTACAATTCATTTGCTTGTTGTTATCTTTCAGGTTCTGAACGACGAAATGTTTACCATTTTGGTGCTTATGGCTTTGTTTACCACCTTTATCACAACCCCGTTGGTGATGTCCATCTATAAACCCACTCATGGCAAATCGTTTCAGACTAATGGCGAACTAGGTGGCGTCAACTCTAATGCCAAAGTGTGACAACATGTGCAGTTGGCGTCCTTCAAGATTGAATAGAATAAACACCAATATTATTTAAAATTAGGAATTTTTTTCTAATTTAAATATTTATATTAGATTCGAGAGTGTTATTATATACAGGGGATGGCTAAATTGTACTCATGATATATATATCGAAGTTGTTTAAGGACTATGGTTGGTATGTATTATGTGTAAAGAATCATTTCAACCCTGGTAGCAGAGTTCCAATGATTATAAGGTGACAAGTTCGATCATCACAATCCTCACTTGTGGAATTAAATAAACATAAGGTAAAAAATAAAATAAAATAAGGTCTATACAATATCACGTTTCAAGTTCAAAGAGCTTTTACATGAGGGAGTATGTTAAAGAATAATATAAATCATTAAAAAGATATTCACTTAATACCTTAAGATTTTGGATTAAAATAATTTTTTACCTGCGCCTTCATTACCATGGCTATAAATGGTATCATGGTATGCTCATACACTAACTAGGCTGCTTTTTTTTTATATATACATACTTGGCTGCTTTTTTATTTGCTCACGAGTGCTCTTTTTTTATTATTTCATACAAAAAATTATTGGGAGTGGAAAGAGTTAATTAACAATATTTTTGATAACAAGAAATGGAAGGGACAAAGCACACAAACAACATCTCTAATGCAAATAAGCTTTAATGTGACAGTGGATATCAATCTGTTGGATAAATTAAAACAATTAAGTCAATCATGGTCACATGAAAATTGAGATCTTTTTATCAAGAAATACAAAGCAATAACAGACCTAGTGTTTACACAAAATATATAAAGTCTTTGTGTTTTGGCATAATATTGGGACTAATTATTGAGATGTTTTGAGTTTCTACATTTGATTATCACACCAATTATTGAGGTGCACGCTTACATGTAGGGTTACCCATGAAAAAAAATACCACTATATGCTTTCACTCAGAACATCATCTCTTTGAAACAAAGGTGGTTGAACAATTTGGAGCGCCATATGAGGGTCACCGACCAATCAAATTAACTAATAGGGCTGCGGGTTTGCAAAAGTTGATTAGAGCATTTTTGGAACACTACTTGAGGGAATTGAAACAACAACATGAGTGGGTAAACCTTTTCAAGGGTGTTAACACTTTTACAATTTATGAGTCGCTGCTATTCCCATTGGACATTGACAAGACAGATTAAACTACAATCAATGTGTTCTTCATAATAGACACTAAAAAAGAAATCTCATACCATATTGTTTTAGTTGAAACATTCTTAATAAAATAATTTTTTCAAGCAAAAACAAAAAGGGTAAAGTATGATGTAGTGCACGGTTTCTAAATGCGTGCATTGTTATATATATCCACACTAGTAAAAACATTAATAATTCATTAAATCCATTGAGAAGATTCTATAGAATTCATGTAAAGCAGCATATTAAGGAAAGTGAACGGAAGATTGAGTTCGACAATATAGAAGAAAAGTTATTCAAGTTGGCATGTTTGTGATATCCCTGACAATAATTGGTTTTCTCACAAATTATTTATGGCGTCATGGGTTACTATAATGTAACTTTCCCGTCTTTAGGGCTATGCCATAGAACCAGGGTGGTACTAGGGAGAAAGTAGTATGGACGGCAGTCTCTCCTTAAATTTTATTTTTTATTATTTTATATGTAAAATAATTATATTAAATAATAATAAATTATTAATACTAATTATCAGTCCCTTCCTCAAAAATATTTATAATAGTTATATTTTCTATTAGTCTTAATAATGTTTATAATTTTAAAATTTTATTTTTATTCATAATTATAAAAAAAATTGAATCCACCGCTGCATGAAACTAGACCTTATCTTTTAGATAGGGGAATCATTGATGTGCCTCTAACAAGTGTAGTTTTCTGTGTTAAAATTGATAATAATTGAATTATAAAAGAGCAATTTAAATATATATTTGCTAATTAGATTGATTCTTTCTAATCCAATAATATTTCTCACCTATTGGTTGTGTTTATACAGGAAAAAAGAGTAAAAATTACAAATTATAAAAAGCTTGTAGACGTGACTCCACACAGATGTATCACAGTACAATGGACAGCAGCATGGCGCCAACTGGCGCCACTATGGAGCCAACCGGCGCCGGATTCTGGAAAAAAACTAAAAACATGTTAGTAGCATGGCGCCACTTGGCGCCCAAAATCAAACAACCAATGGCGCCAAGTAGCGCCCAAGGTCAAAGCAAATGGCGCCAAAGGGCGCCCAAGAAGAGGAAGGTGGCGCCACCCTTGAAGCCACTCAGCGCCAAGTTGCATCACTTTTGTGTTAGTGATGTGGCGCCAAGTAGCGCCACTATGGCGCCTACTGGCGCCACTTTACGAATAATGGGTTCCGACTTTTTCAATGGGACAGAAGCGCGGCGCAAACTTGCGCCAAACCGGCGCCAACTGGCGCCGGTTTACGGGAAATTGTACCGTGCTGTTGCGAGGGTATTTTTGGAAGAAGGAAAAGAGGATTATAAATAAGATCCTTTTGACAGAATTAGGGATTCAAACCTATTTTTCTGAAGAGAGATGACGTCAGAGCTCTGAGGGGATTCCTGGAGTCAAGTTCTTCTTCTCTTTTCTCCTTAATTTTATGCTTTTGAATATTGGATTATTTTTAGCCATGATTATGCTTGGCTAGTTTTCTTTTATTGTAGTTAGGGTCACGAGCCCTATGTGAACCCTTGTTAGTTGTTACAATGGATTGATTTATGGTTTTTCGTTATATAATTATCTTTATCTTTACCTTGTGCGTATTTTATATCTTCTTTGTTAGACTTGATCAATCTAATAGTTGAAGATAGTTTGAGGGTTAGAACCCTAGATAGGAATATCGGGGTTTTCATCTTGAAAGGGGGAAAGATAACAATTACTATGCATGCTAGGAATAGATGTATATTTAATTACAGATGCTTAAATTATTGAGTTCATTGCTTAATTCTTATGAGGGATTACTAAGGGATTAGGATTCCAATTGAGGTTAAAGGGTTAAATTACCAAGGGATTGGGATTTAACTAATTAATTCTAGATGATAATTTATCTGAGTAATTATATAATTGAATATTGTAAATCAATCCAAAGTAAGAAGTGGGGATCATAAGGTGAGTGCGCTCTAGCTACAATGTTTTTCTCATATTTTAAAAATCAACTCTAATCGTTATTGTTTTATTTCTCTTAAATAAAAATTAAAAAACAAGTCTTTACTTTTATTTCTTGTTGTTACTAAAAATCAATTTGCAATTTTTCCAAACAACAAACCGAGTTTTCCAACTTAAGAGGACTGGTTATTGTAGTACTTGGTTTACAATCCCTGTGGAGACGATACTCTACTTACTTTCTATATTACTTGTGCGATCGGTATACTTGCCGGAGAGCATCAATCATATCCACCATTGGTCTAGATTTCTCCTTAAAATTGTACACATAATAAAATGATAAAAGATGCCATTCGAATAAGGTTTTTAATTTGGGGCGTTTGGTAGAGAGGATAAATTTTTTTTTATCCAGAAATCAATGTTACCAAAAAGTTTTTTAGTAGGCTAAAATATTCTTGATACTATGTTTGATTGATTGTAAATTATTGCTCGGATGTGGATTGGGATTAATTATATCCCAAAAAAATTATCAAATATTTTCATCAAATGAGATTTTCAAAATACCACCCATTTGGTGGTATTTTAAGATAGAATTTTTCTTTATAAACATAAATACCGGGAATCCGACTTTTTCAGAAAACTTTTTACAATCCTCGTGCCAAACGTGGGTAAATCGAATTTCAAATCTCACATTTTGAGGATTTTAAAATTTTTCCTTCTACCAAACACCCTCGTAGAGAATACTAACCCCTGAGTTTCACCCTTAGGACAAAAGGAAGCATATCATTTCCTTCTTTTCGTTGCAAGATTCCTATAATATCATTTATTATCAGTGGGGGAGCCACGTTGGCTTCAGCTAGTGCCTTGTTCCAGGCTCTAGTTTTTAAAAATTAGTCATGTTTTAAATGTGGGTAAATAACTATAGCTAGGTTGTAATACCTGAAAGGAATAGAATTTAGTATTTGGTATTGATTAATTTTTTTTGACACAAGCTGAATAATTTTGCTGGCTCTGCCACTGTTCATTACCTTCCATTTTCATGCACCTCCAATATCATGATGTAATTTTTTCTCCCTTACCTCCACCATGCCCATATGTTGTAGTAGACATTGTCCATGTCAAGTATGCATGTCATGCATCTAGTATGTTTCAATGATGTATGTCATTTAGTTCGCTTTAGGATATGATGAGCTATTGTTGTCTTTGATTTGAACAACTCACTAACTTATGCATTAGATATCTTATCCTTTGGGTCTACAACCCATTAATATTCATGTATTTTTTTTTTTGATAACAATATTCATGTATTAAAGTAAGTCTGAAAGGATATATGAACCTATTGGGCCAAGTGGGCCCAACTGTACTGTAACTAACTTTTAGTTATTCAATTTTAGTAGTTATCCAAATAACTTTTAGTCATGCATCTAGTATGTTTCAATGATGTATGTCATTTAGTTCGCTTTAGGATATGATGAGCTATTGTTGTCTTTGATTTGAACAACTCACTAACTTATGCATTAGATATCTTATCCTTTGGGTCTACAACCCATTAATATTCATGTATTAAAGTAAGTCTGAAAGGATATATGAACCTATTGGGCCAACTGGGCCCAACTGTACTGTAACTAACTTTTAGTTATTCAGTTTTAGTAGTTATCCAAATAATACAACATAGTATATAATGTAATCCATCCATCTGTTTTGATATCGTTCACATAATATTCAATATACAGAAATCATTCAGTATTCAAGATTCTCTTCTTTTTACATCAAGATTCTGATATCTTTCATGGTATCAGAGCTCTTGATCCATGGAGATCGAAAAGTGCAACTTTGTTCAAACTTTCACCAACCCAGTATCATTTAAGTTGGATGAAGATAACTTCTTGCCATGGAAACAACAAGCCTTGGCAACAATCAAGGGATACAACCTGGCCAAATTTATCACTCGTGAAATTCAAGGCTCTGTTGAAAAGACTTCAAACAAAGCATAACAAGATTCACAAGAA